AAAAGGTACTCCCACCGATAAAGTGGGTGTTTTGCGAACGACCACGAATCTGACAGTACCGGTGAGTGGAAGTGTGCACTCCATCACGCTCCGAACATAGGAATTTTCGAAAGTTTCTAGATTGAAAAATAGCAATTGAAGCGTAACAGACTTATCCGACAATATAAAAAATGAATGTTCTTTCAATGTTCCTTCGCATACGAACAGTTGGAAGACTTAGAACAGCCAATTAATTACTTTCCTTTTATAAATTTTCTTCCCGTAAACTCTTTCATCATTTATTTCGTTTTTTCACAATATAAATAAACACCAACATAGACATACACAAAGAATTCATCAAATAAATAATGGAAGGCAAAATCATTGGCGAACTAATTGAGAAGTTTCTCTGCAAGAAATCCTTCCATGGCTCTGTGGGCTCGTTTATCGGCCTTCTCATTGTATGCTGCTCCAGGGATTCCCCAGTTGGCTGCCCCTGCAAGAATTTCCTAATATTTATGAAAAAAGTTTGTTTAAATCAGAAACTCTACATGGTACGGTAAAAGCATGTTGTGCATCGGCATATGAGGTGAAATGCCAATCCGCTTGTCTTGCTCTCATTTCATCGAGGAATTCAGCAGCCTGTAAGGTACTCTCATGCATAACGTATCTTATGCAAGAGATTGTTGGATTACTGTGTACGGTATCACTCACATTTTGATTGGTAGTATGAGGGTCAATGTCGCCGTGATGTGCTTGAACTGAGGCTCCAATAGAGCTAAATTTTCAGGGATAAAATTCACCTTGGATTGCCCCTAATAGTAGTTGATATTTACGCATTGTTTCCTGGATAGTTTGTCAATGTTCCATGGAATGAGACTGCCGCCTGCAAACCTACATCGAATCGTGCCAGATCCAAGCAAGTCAGCCCACCGAAACAATAACCGGTACAGCCTATCTGAAAAACTATAACCATAAACTTGGTCATCTTAATGCGGCACCGTCAAAGAGATAACAATGATAAACCTTCTGATCTTTGACGTATGACAAGCTTTTCACATAATTCCACGCATCTCGAACTCTTCGCTGAAGTGTTGTGGTACGTTCGGCTAGAAGTTGTCCCATTATGGCAAAATTCGCGTTTGTATCGTTCGTGGCCACACCCTTGCCATATACGTCGGCAGCAAAGGCAACGTATCCAAGCTCAAGACGAGACATTTTGATTTTTGTCTGTACAAAGAACCTAGCCTTACCTTAGCCAAGTCGCGAGCCTTCTGGTTTTCGAATTCTGTCCTGCCAGTGAACGCATGGAAGACAATTACGGCTGGCGTGGCTTTCTTTGGAAAGATTGATCTAAAGTGTTCTTATCAATCCATATTA